CTCTACCACTTGAGCTACAGCGCCACTTCCGGTTTTCTGGTGGTTTATTGGAGATAGGAGTCTCACGGGTCTCTCCTGCCCGGGCTGGCTTTGAACTGCGATCCTCAGATCTCAGCCTCCTGAGTAGCTAGGATGACAGGCGTGAGCCACCAGCGCCCGGCTGCTTCAAGTATTTTCTTTTTTTTTTGTCGGTTGTGGGGCCTGAACTGTGGGCCTGGGCGCTGTCCCTCAGCTCTTCAGCTGAAGGCTAGTGCTCTACCACTTGAGCCTCAGCCGGACTTCCAGATTTTTCTGCCTCTGTGGTGATAAGGAACAGAACCCAGGGCCTCATGCATACAAGGCAAGCACTCTACCACTGAGCTACCTTCCCAGCCCTTCAAGTATTCTTAAGCCAACATTTCCTGCCTAACCAATTGAAAATGTAAGCACATTTCTGATTATGTAAGAATCAAGGTTGAGGAAATAATGCCTTTACATCAGTGCTTTCATTGCTGGTGTTCTCTTCCCTCTTTCTTTCTTCTTCTTCCTGTTCCAGTTCCTTAATGCTCTCTTCCAGAACATTGGGCCAGAAATCACCCTCAAAGTACGGCAATTCCTTTGCACTTGTTAGTCGATCTTCAGTAGCTTGTTTTAAAATATCCTGTGAAAATTTCCAAGAAAAAAAAAACAAAAAAAAAAAAAAACAAAACTGAGGGGATGGATGGGAGAGATGGAGGACGCAACATTTGATCTAGATACACTGTACTCACGAACTGACCTGCTCAACTGAAATCCCTCTGTACAAGATACATAAAAGACAGAAGTGTTTTCTGAAAGCAGGCAGAGATTTTGTATTCATGACATATGCTAGGGATGTACTCTTGCTCTTTTTCCTATACTCATGAGTGGACCTCTATATATTGGAGGGGCAAATTATTCTGCCAGGTCCAGTGCAGAGGTGGAAGCACAAGCATTCACTCTTTATCATGTCCCATTTCTTGTCAGAGTGACTGGACTTAAGGCAGGACCTCCTGTAAACCACTACTGGCATATCATAACTTTAAGTGCTAACGATGTGAATGGCAAACAGGTGCTATACATGGTCTTTTGAGCTGCTTGGGAAAACATCCAATGCTTTTCCTGAATGCAGTAGTTCACATTATGAGATGGTAACATGCTATTAATCATAAATTTTAGATTGGTCACCATATACTTCTTGACTTACACCACTTCTCTTAACCACCTAGTTTTGACTTTGAAACTCTTTACATATACAAAAAATGTAGAGGTACAGCAAACAAAGACCTAGTGAAAGTGAAATGATAGGAAACAGGGCAGCAAAAATAGTGCAGCTGTGTTCCAACTGACCTTGTAGTCATGGACAATACGCTCTGATACAGCCTTGTCAAGCATCTTTTTGTACCATTCCTGCAAGCGTTTAGGCTTGGGTATCTTCTGGTCAGGAGGATGACAATGGAAGATATAGTCATCGCCCTCGCTTGGTGGACAGGCCCAAATATGTCCTGTTGTGTATCTTAACAACACAAGGAGAAGAAATATCAAGAATAGAGATTGTCCAGTCTATACAGAAAGTTATACTTCTATCTTTCAAGGGACAAGGTTTCACTATGTTGCCAGGGTGGCCCCGACATTTCCTCTACAGGTACAATTACACCGTCGTAGAATACTCTAAGACAAGTTGAAACAGACACAGAAACAATAATATAGACATGGGCAGGGCTTGAGTAGTATCGTGTATACCTAGCAAAGACTGAGTTCAATAAAACAACCATGAAGTCCACAAAATTCAGTTTAAGATAAAAATTCTTAGAACAAAGCTGAGCACCAGTTGCTCATGCCTGTAATCCTAACCCAGGAGATCTGAGGATTGAAGTTTGAAGCCAGCCCAGGCAAGAAAGTCTGTGAGACTATTTCCAATTAACCACCAAGAAGCTAGAAGTGGGGCTGGGCTTAAGCCTTGAATTTTTTTTTTGGGGGGGGTCCGGTCATGGGGCCTGAACTCTGGGCCTGGGAGCTGTCCCTCAGCTCTTCAGCTCAAGGCTAGCACTCTAACTTGAGCCACAACACCACTTTTGGCTTTTTTCTTTTTGCTTATGTGGTGCTGAGGAATTGAACCCAGGTCCTCATGCATGCAAGGCAAGTGCTCTACCACCGAGCCACCTTCCCAGCCCAAGGTTACTTTTAAGACCATGTCTCACCACAGTATGTGTTTTCTTGTAATATCTTTGTACAACTACATAACAACCCCAACCCAGCCCCCACCCCCACGCCCACAATACTTACCCTAATTTCTTGACATACTCTAAATATCCAATTAGAATTTCATGATATACTGCAGTCCTCAAGCATTTAGGACGGAAGAAGTGAACACTATCGAGGTAAGATATATATACTCTCCTACAGCAAACAAAGAGAAAAGAAGTCATCACATAGTGATTAAGTGGCTACAAACATGTATCTTTGTCCTGCATATGCTTTCACCTTATTAACGTTTAGCAGTTTCTAGTATACCCTATATCAATCTCCACTTTCCTAAGCCTCTATGCCTTCTTGTCTGTTATGACTTAATTCCCCTTCCCCCCTGCTGGAATGCTGGACACAGTGAGTCAGTCGTACCTCTGGTTGGGTGGAGGACAGTCAGAGCCATACTCTTGAACATGCATGCCAAAGAAGCACAAGTCAACACCATCAATCTCTTCGAAGGCAAAAAGGGCTTTGGTTCTGTATGGGAAGGATTCAGCCATCTCTCCACTATCTACAAACCTACACAATTTGGATTGGGGGAAAGACCACAAACACATGTCATTCTGTCAGAATCACTAGTAGGAACTGGATACGAACAATAGTGTACCCACAAAAAAAAAGGGGACTTGGTAGATACCTTGCTTTCATGCCAGGCTTGACTTCCACAGTTTTGTCAGAAGCATGTACAACCCTAACAGTGACCTCTCCTGATTCAGGATGATTTTGTCGTCTCAGAAAATCATTCACACGATTCTCTAGAAAGGTGCCAAGCCGGGTAGATGGCAATCCTAGGAACACAAAAGCTAAAGTTACCAAGTTCAAATTTTTACTGTCTTGAGGGGTGATCTCATCCAACAAACAGGATAAATTGTAGTGTGTGTATATTTTTAAAAACATTTTGTGAACACTGTCAAAATGCAGGGGTGGCTTTCTATTCTTTTCTGCATCAGAAACTGGAGCCATATCCCCAACCCTCCATTGTTTACTTAAAATGTTTCAATTTCAGCAGTTAATTAAAATGTAGAACTAATACCCATACACATGTTACCTAGGATGTATTAGTTGAAAAACATAGGAGTCAAAGCAATTTCTAGGTCAGTAAAATATTGCAAAACCATCTACAAACAAAACTACAGTAAGGGGCTGGGAAGGTGGCTCAGTGGTAGAGCACTTGCCTTGCATGCATGAGGCCCTGGGTTCGATTCCCCAGCACCACATAAGCAAAAAGAAAAAAAGCCAGAAGTGGCGCTGTGGCTCAAGTGGTAGAGTGCTAGCCTTGAGCTGAAGAGCTGAGGGACAGTGCCCAGGCCCAGAATTCAAGCTTTTCAAGTTTTTCAGAAAGTAAGTTACAAAATAGGGGAAAATGAAGAAAAGAGCTTTCATATATCTGGGTGTCAGTGGTTCACTCCTGCAATCCTAGCTACTCAGGAGGTTGACATCTGAGGATTGTGGTTTGAAACCAGGCCAGGCAGGAAGGTCCATAATAAACCACCAGAAAACCAGAAGTGGAGCTGTGGCTGGAACATTAGAGTCTCTAGATTATGTCCAGGTCTTGAGACCATGCCTCACAATCCACCAAAAAAAAAAAGTTTTCACATAAAATGAACCAAGCCAGGCACCGGTGGCTCATGCCTGTCATCCTAGCTACTCAGGGGGCTGAGATCTGAGGATCGCAGTTCAAAGCCAGCCCGGGCAGGAGAGACCCGTGAGACTCCTATCTCCAATAAACCACCAGAAAACCGGAAGTGGTGCTGTAGCTCAAGTGGTAGAGCGCTTGCCTTGAGCTGAAGAGCTGAGGGACAGCGCCCAGGCCCAGAGTTCAAGCCCCACGACCGACCAAAAAAAAAAAAAAAAAAAAAATTTAATGCCTCACACAGCCATCATTTGGTCTAGCATCAATGCCATGATTTTTCTTTTCCCCCACTGCTGGTCCTAGGTAGTAGCTGAGCTTTTTATGCTTAAGGCTAGTATCCTACCACTTAAGCCACAGTTTCACTTCCCTCTTTTAGGTAATTAACTGGAGTTGAGTCTCATGCTTTTTCCTGTCAGGGCTAGTTTATAACTTTGAACACTGTTCCTCAGAGCTCAGCCTTCTTGGTAGCTAGGATTATAGGCATAAGTCACTGAAAATACCCAGCATTAAATGTGTATGTATTAGAAGAATACAAGCAAAACTAGTTTTTACTGATTGTTTCTCAGTGTAGAGAAAACTTTGATTTTGGAAGGGCTTCCCATGTTAACTAACATTCAAGGGCCCAAAGAAAATGCTGGTGACTTCATGCCTATAATCAGGAAGCTGAGATCTGAGGATTGTGGTGCAATGCGAGCCCCAGGCAGGAAAGTTAGTGAGACTCTTATCTACAATAAACTACTCAGAGAAAGCTGCAGTGGCCTTGTGGCTCAAGTGGCAGAGCACCAGCCTTGAGCAAAGAAAGGCTCAGGGACCCAGCTCAAAGCCCTAGGAGAAACATAACAACAAAAACTTTGTAAAGTCTGGCACAGTGGCTCACACGTATAACCCTAGCTACTCAAGAGGCTGAGATCTGAGGATCGCAGGTCAAAGTCAACCCAGGCAGGAAAGCCCTTGAGACTTTTATTTTTGTCAGTCCTGGGGCTTGAACTCTGGGCCTGGGCGTTATCCCTCAGCTAACGTTCTATCAAGGCTAGCATTCTATCACTTGAGCCACAGTATCACTTCTAGTTTTCTGAGTGGTTTATTGGAGATAAAAGTCTCAAGGTCTTTCCTGCCCAGGCTGGCTTTGAACCTCCATCCTCAGATTCAGCCTCCTGAGTAGCTACGATTATAGGTGTGAGCTACCAGCACCCAGCCCTTGGAGACTCTCATCTCCAATAAGGCACTCAGAAAACCAGAAGTGGCACTGTGGCTCACGTGGTAGGTAGAGCAGTACTAGCCTTGAGGTGAAGAGCTCAGGGAAAGTGCCTAGGCCCAGAGTTCAAGGGCCCCTCCCCCTCAAAACAACAAAAACATCATGAAGACATAGTTATTGTAAAGAAGAAAAAAACTTGTTAATATTCACGATGGAAAGTCCCAGAGAAATAGAAGACTTACCCAGCTGGCCAGATGATCTCATGATGGAGAACACAAATTTGGTGCATTTTCCTTCCACACTCTGTACATTCAACAAACCTGAAAATGCAAAGCAAATTTCAAAATTAGTGTCAAAATCAGAAGCAGTATTAACATTTTTAACAATTCAGAAGATTAACTAGGTGCTATGACTTGTGCATGTGGTCCCTGGTATAGATTGGGTGAGAATCATGATTGAAGGCCAGCCTGGGGGCGGGTGAAATATGACATCCCCGTATCAACACCAACAAGCCAGTCATAGTGGTACATGCCTGTCACCCTGACTACATAGGAGGACCACAGCCCAGGTCCATCAAGGGTGAAGAAATGTATTTTATCTGAAAAATAACCTAAAGAAATGAAAAGAGCCAAAGATCATGGCTGAAGAACTGAAAAGTTAAGTTTAATGGTTTTTTTGTTTTGTTTTGCTTTTTGGGGGAGTCACTTGAATGAAGGAAGGTGAAAAATGTAGTCATTTTCTTTTTCTTCTTTTTTTGGGTCCGGTTGTGGGGCCTGAACTCTGGGCCTGGGTGCTGTCCCTCAACTCTTCAGCTCAAGGCTAGCGCTCTACCACTTGAGCCACAGCGCCACTTCCGGCTTTTTTCTTTTTGCCTATGTGGTGCTGGGGAATCGAACCCAGGGTCTCATGTATTGCAAGGCAAGCGCTCTACCACTGAGCCACCTTCCCAGCCCAAATGTAGTCATTTTCAATGTACAATATGTAAAATTTGAACTTCGTAACTTCAGGGCAGGATAGAATGAGGAAAGATAGGGTAGAATGATGGAAGGGGTGACACTGATAAAAATGCATTGTACTCATAACGTGACTTATCACATTAAAGCCCCATTGTATAAAATAAATATTAAAACAAGTACTTGTTGGGTAGTGATGGCTCATATGAGAATCCTAGCTATTAATGAGATTGTCAACACAGTGAGAAATGTTTGGGAGACCCTGTATCTAAAATAACTAGCAAAACTGGAAAGAAAATCTGTAATTAACCACTAGAAAATATGAAATGGTGCTGTGGCTCAATGTGGCACAGAACTAACCTTGAATGAAGAAGCTCAGGGACAGGACCCAGGTTCTGTGTTCAAGGCTTACAACTTATCAAAAACAATAACAAAGCAGGGAAGGATGGCTCAAGGTATAATCCCAACTACTTAGAAGGCAAAGATGACTGGGAAATGACAGTTTAAGGCTAGCAGGAAACAAAGTTTTTGGACTCCACTTAAAGCTATGTTTGAGGCCCAGGGTCACATGTCTGTCACATGGATCAGAGGAAGCCCAGGCATGCCAGGGCATACAGTAAGACCCTACAAAAGGGAGTTAGGGGGAAGGGTGGGAAGGGGAAACAGAGGAGGAGGTTACAAGGCTTGATAAGAAATGTACTCATTTTCTTGCCCATGTAATTGCAACCCCTCTGTACAGTACTTTCACAATAAAAAAATAAAATGGAAAAAAAGAAAAAAGGGAGTTAGAGGTACAGGTCAAGGGAATAATGCTTACTCAGCAAGAACAACACACCCCCTCTCCCATGTTCAATTGCCAGAGTCTCCAAAAAAGGAAAAAGGAAAAATCATTAAACAAAATAGGACACAGGGAAAACAAATTTCAAAATAAATTGTCATTAAAAATACAAATTTTCACCGGGCGCCAGTGGCTCACAGCTGTAATCCTAGCTACTCAGGAGGCTAAGATCTGAGAATCACAGTTCAAGCCAGCCAGGGGCAAGAAAGTCCATGAGACTTTTATCTCTAATTAACCACCAGAAAAATGGAAGTGGCACTGTGGCGCAAATGATACAGCTCTGAGCTGAAGAGCTAAGGGACAGTGCCCAGGCCCAGAGTTCAAGCCTCATGACAAAAACAAACAAACAAAAAAACACAATAAAAAACCCCGAATTTTCAATTTGACTCAGCCAAGGGACCAGGGAGCAGTAAGCACTGGTGGTGGAACCTCCAGATGCATCCAGCAATGTTAAGGAACAGCTAGAAAGCTAGTTCAGTTCAGTGGTGTAGGTTCTAAGAAAGGCAAAGAACAGACCGTACAGCATTAAAGGAGAGGAAGCTTGACATTTCACAGGAGCCAACACACATACCAAAACATTTACTTAATGAAAATGACCACTAACTGTAAATGTTTAGATATAGATTGTATATATGTACTATTAGAATATATGCTGAGGGGGGGAGGCTGGGAAGGGATGTGAAGGGTAAACAAAGGAGGAGACTGCAATGCTTGAGAAGAAATTTACACATTAACCTGCCCATGTAATTGTAACCCCTTTGTACAGTGTGTTCACAAAAAATAAATTAAAAAAAAAAAAGAATATATGCTGATGTTCATCTGACAGGCCATACAAACCAAAAGAATGAAAAGAAGAAAGGTCAAGTGTAGTGACTTGACAATTCCTGAGAATCAACTTACAGTTCAGGGTCCAGTGTGTCATTTTTTCTCTTGGAAAATTGTTCTTTATTTATTGTACTGAGGAGAGAAAATGAACACTGTGAGGAAAGCAGTAGAAACATACACATCATACTATCCCCTCTACCTGGAACATCAATAGATAATTTAGATGTCCTAAGAAAATACATTAATAGATTTATGTAAAGAATATTCTGTAGGATTTTACAGCAAGCAGATTTATCCTTACAGGAAACAAAAGACCAAAGACAAACTAGAAAGATTACTTCATTTCTTCTTTACATGTATCTACCTACTACTGTACACTCATTTTTTTTTTGGGGGGGGGTCTGGTCATGGGGCCTGAACTCTGGGCCTGGGTGCTGTCCCTCAGCTCTTCAGCTCAAGGCTAGCGCACTAACACACTCCATTTTTTATGTTTTAATATTCCTAGACTAGATTGCAATGACAAGGAATATTCTTTTTTTAAGAACTGTCTCCCCTGGGGCTGGGAAGGTGGCTAAGTGGTAGAGCACTTGCCTGGCATGCTTGAGGCCCTGGGTTCGGTTCCTCAGTACCACAGCAGGAAAAAAAAAGCCGGAAGTGGTGCTGTGGCTCAAGTGGTAGCATTGGCCTTGAACTAAAGAGCTCAGGGACAGCACCCAGGCCCAGAGTTCAGGCCCCACGACCGGACACCCCCCCCCAATAAATAAATGTCCTCTTTACCAATCATTTAATTGTAACCTCTCTGTACATCACCTTTATTAATTAAAAAAAAAATCTTTCTTGCCAAGCACCAGTGGCTCACAATCTTTAATCACCAAAAAGCTGGAAATGGAGCTGAGGAGCAAGTGGTAGAGCACTATGCCCTGAGTGCTAACCCAAGACCAGCAAGCACAAAAAACAACAAACAAACATTTTTTTCAAGAGTGTCTTAAACATTCCAACATTAGCCGGGCGCTGGTGGCTCACGCCTGTAATCCTAGCTACTCAGGAGGCTGAGATCTGAGGATCGCAGTTCAAAGCCAGCCCGGGCAGGAGAGACCGTGAGACTCCTATCTCCAGTAAACCACCAGAAAACGGGAAGTGGCGCTGTAGCTCAAGTGGTAGAGTGCTTGCCTTGA